CCCTCCCCCGCCTGTAGCCGTCTACTATGACGACCTCACCTTCCTTCGGACGGTGTACTTCCTCACGCTCGACGGCATGGATGTCGCCAGCCAGGAGGCCGTTTTTGCCGCCCTCCCCGGGGAGATGCGCAAGGCGGTGGACAACTTCAGCCTGGAGCGCATGCACCAAGTCCTCCGGCGCGAGCTGCAGACCATGCAGTTCAACAGCGAAAATGACCCCAAGGAATTGATCCTGGATGCGGTCCTGTCGGAGTTCATCAACGGCCGGTCGGATTATCAGGACCTGCCGACGGCCCTCTACGGCCCGGCCCTGTGCTACCGGGCGGCCCTGGACTCGGATGCCTGGCCGGCCGAGCGCTGGGTGGCCCTGGCAAAGCGATACCTGGTGGATGCGCCATTTGTGGCGGTAGCCGGTGTGCCGGACCCCCACCGGTCGGACATGCTGGCCCAGCAGGCGGCCGCCAATCTGAAGGCGCACCTGGAGCGCTTCTCCTCGGAGGAGCGGGACTCCTTCGCCGGGGTGCTGGCCGCGGCCGAGGCCGTCAACACAGCCCCCATTCCGGATGCTGTGCTGGCCGGGCTGACCTCCCGCCCGGACCCGGACTCGGTGACCCTCTACCCGGTGGTCAGCTCGCGACTGCATGTCTTCGCCGATGGGTCTCGCAGCGCGCTGGACCTCGACGCGTCCGGAGGCCTGGACACCGGGCGCCTGAACGCCGTGCAGCTGGCCCTCCTGGCCAGCGCCCCGGACCGGATCCTGCCCTTCGAGCTGCAGTTTGATCGTGCGTCGGCGACCGTCCTCGCAGTTGGGCTCCTCTTGTTGGGCTCCTTCTTTTTCCCTGCCTCCGGCCCTCATCCATGGGGATTAACCTGTTGCCTTGTTCTCCCGCCCCCGCCCCCCCACCAAACCCGCGCCCGGCGCCGCAGACGTGCCCAGCCGCTTCTTCAAGTTGAATGTCATCTTCGACACGTCCATCCTGCCGCCCCGGCTGCGGGACTACCTGTACCTGTACCTGAACTATGCGACCGAGGCGCCGATTGCCTTTGCCAGTGCGGATGCCGTGCCGGAGGACCTCCGTGCGATGGCGGTCCTGCGCCCGGCCGGCGACCAGTCCCCGGTCATGGTCCTGCCGCATGACCAGGCCACCACGCTCATGGAGCAGGATACCATCGAGTTTTTGACGGACATCGGGTCCATCTGGCCGCTCGGGGCCAGTGGCATCTGCCCGCGGTCCGAGACGCTGGCTTCCATGTCGGCCTTCGTCACGCAGGCCAACTACGAGCGGGGCGTCCGGTGGCTGGCTTGGCGCCTGAGCCAGGTGCACCTGAGCCCGGCCCGGCTGGTGGTCATGGCCCGGCGTCTGCTGGCCGGCCTGTCGGCCTACAGCCAACAGGGCTCCACCTATGTGGGCATTGCCATGTCCGACGCGCTGACCCATTGCCGGCATTGCTCCAACACGGTGCGCCTAAACCCCCGGCATCAGGAGCACTTCCTCCGGCGGGTGATTCGCCAGTTGAAGGCCGATCCGGCTGGGGCCCTGCGCGATTTGGCCCTGGTGCAGCGGCTGCTCTTCACCGGGAGCGCCGGCGACCTGGAGGTGTCCGGCGAGGGGGCCGAGCCGGCGGTCGCGGTAGCCCGCGCGGTGGCTGCCATCGCTGCCCGGCCGGCTGCCCTGCCGGCCGCCGCCGACGGCCCGGTCGGTTCGCTGCGCATGCTGGCCCATGTGTCGGGCAATGTGGTGGACCTCGGCGAGTCGGCGCGTGCCGTGTGGCTGCAGCACTTTGGCCATGTGGCGGCCATCGGGGATTTGGTTCCGGAGGCGTTGCTGGCCAGCGGGTCGGCCAGCGCGGCGGCTGCCTTCCGGGCGGCCCGCTCGGCCGATGGCGGTCGGCCTGATGACGGCCTCCGGCCGGTGACCTTGCTGGATGTCCAGCGGTCCATCCTGGGCCGGGCCCTGGGCCCGGCCGTGCTGACCAATGGCTGCCTGACGCCCTTGGCCCGGGAGGCTTTGACCACCTCCGGCCGGGCGGTGGTCGTGGAGATGGGCTCCACCGAGAGTTCCTTCTCCACGCACGCGGCCCCGGGCCCGGTGTCCTTCCTGGACCCGCAGGTGCATGAGCTGGATGTCCTGTGCACCTTCCTGAGCATGACCGAGGGGCCCCTGTGGAAGGGTGTCCGCGGGCGCGGGCTGTCTTATGGGATTTACGCCGACAGCGACCCCAATGCCGGGCTCATCACCCTGTCGGCCTACCGGATCAGCAATGCCGGTGTCGAGGCGGTGGCCGAGGCGGTGGACGGCGTGGCCCGGTCTCTGTGCCCGGTGGACGGCTCGACCGAGCCCAACATCTCCGACACGGACCTTGTGGCGGCCAAATCGGTGTACATCTACTCGCGGGTGAGCCGCATGAAGTGCCTCTTCAGCGCGGCCAATCATGCCTTCATGAATGCCGTGTTCCTGCGCCGGGAGGCCGCCCTGCCGGAGCCGGCGGACTTCCGCGGCGATCGGGCCGACCAGCTCTTCCGCGCCATGGCCAGTGAGGTGACCAGCATGTCGGCCGGTCAGCTGTATGAGGCTTTCGAGCGCAATGTCCGCCCGGTCTTCACCCCGGGTCGGTCGCTGACGGCCGTCGTGTCGCCGACCTCCTCGGCCGGGCAGGCGGTCGATGCCTTGGTTGCTCGCGGCGCGGAGGTCCGCCGCCTGGCCTCGGTGGATGGGCTTCTCCCGCGCGGTGATGCGCTCTTCCCGGGGGCCGGGACCTGCTCGGGTGGCGATGTGCTGGCCCCGTGTGCCCACATCCGGTCCTTCAACTCCCTGGCTCAGAGCCCTGAGCTGGATTTCCTCCTGAAGCCGGTCGTGGACTACTCGGATCTTGATGCCGGCCCTGCCGAGGACGACGATGAGGAGGATGAGGACGATGAGGAGGGTGAGGACGATGAGGATGATGAGGACGATGAGGACGATGAGGACGGCAGCACCGACGCCGGTTCCTCCGGGGATGAGGGCGACAGCGACGACGAGGACATGAGCGCCAGCGACTCCGAGTGAGTGGTCTTCCCCGATTCGTCGGCACCTCCCAAATAGATACCAACGCATCGACCGGGCCCGGTGGCCCTGGTGCCTTTGCTGTGTCCCACTCTGCCGTGGGTTGTGGGGACGGGGGGGGGGCCAGATGGGCGGCGGGCGCACGTTTATGTATGGCCCGGGGCCGGGTGCGGGGGACGGGGGCTGTGTGTGCAGTGTGGGTCTCGGGCCGCGGCCCCGAGCCGGCTCCATCGTCTTGCCCTCCTCCGCCTCTCTCTCTCTCCCTCCCTCCCTCTCTCTCTCTCTCTCTCTCTCTCTCTCTCTCTCTCTCTCTCTCTCCCTTGTTTTCCGAGCTGCTTGTGTCCGTGTGGCGTAAACCCGGTCAAGATGTGATGACTCAAGGGGTTTCTCCTGGTCGAGAGCGCTCGCATTGTCGCCCAATGCCTGGGCACCACACGGGTCCGGTCGATCCCGGACAGATCCCCCTTCATGGGCAAAGTGACTGCTCGCCTGCCGCAAGGCAAAAGCGGCATTCTCCTCTTCCCCCTTCGTGGATCCATCCCCCCTCCCCCCTTCCCCCTCTCCCCCCCCGCGCGCATCCTTTCTCTCCCTCCTCCCCGCCTGACATGCTCTCCTCTGTTGGTCGCCTTGTGCGTGTCGCTGGGCCGACTGCGCATGCGGCGCACGTCCGCATGGCCATTGGCACGGCGCGTCCCAGCACCGCGGCCCTTTTGCGGGGCTTCTCCTCGGCGGCGGTGACCGACCCCGAGCCGACGGGCGCCTCGCCCGGGGCCTCGAGCTCGGAGTGCCTGCTGCCGGCGCACATGTTCGCCGAGGTGGCGCCCTTGCTGCGGAGCAGCTTCGGCGTGGAGGCCGACCCGGCTACCTGCAACATCACGCCGACCATCTTCGAGCGCATCAGCCGTGGCTTGCATCTGCTGGAGCCGCCGGCCGGCAGCCCCGGCCCGGGGTACAGCACGCACCCGCTGGCCCTCATCCGGTCGATCATCCAGCGGGCCCTGCTGGAGGCGATCGCCCGGTCGTCCGATGGGAAGGACAACTTCGCCGTCTTTGACAACCTCCCGCCATTTGTCCGGCCGGAGGCCAACTTCGACCACCTGCTGGTGGCCCCCGGGCACCCGAGCCGGTCCTTCACCGATTCGTACTATGCCAGCACCGAGTGCATGCTGCGCACGCACTCCTCCGCGCACCAGAGCGAGCTCCTGCGCCAAGGCCACGTGCGCCTTCCTTCCTCGGCCGCCGGCGCCCTCTCCGCTCGCTGCCCTTTCCCCTCCCTCCTCTCCGACTAACCTCCACCTCCCCCTCGTTTCCCCCCCCCCCCTGCCATGCGGGGCCTGGCGCGCTCGCATCTCCGACACACGCGCACACACGCGCACACACGCGCACACACGCGCACACACGCGCACACACGCGCACACTCGCGCACACTCGCGCACACATGCATACATATGCGCGCCCGTACATCTGCAGCGTAATTTCCTCGTCGCGGCCGATGTCTACCGCCGCGATGAGGTGGACGCCTCACACTACCCGGTTTTCCACCAAATGGAGGGCATGCGTCTGCTGGACCTGGACCCGGCGGCCGGGCAAACGGTCGATCGGGCGCTCCTGCCCCAGGGCGAGGGTGGCCCCGATGCGGTGGGCCGGCAGCCGGCCCTCAGCCAGGAGGCCAGTGACCGGGTGGAGGCGGACCTGCGGGCGCATGTGACCGCCGTGCTGGAGGGGCTCTTCCCCCCCGGGACACCCATTCGCTGGGTGGATGCCTACTTCCCCTTCACCCGGCCTTCCTTCGAGGTGGAGGTCTTCTTCCAGGGCGAGTGGCTGGAGGTGCTGGGCTGCGGGGTGACGCAGCAGGCCATCATCGATGAGCACTACCGGCCGGCGGGGGGTGCGTCGCCCGACGCGCCGAGCGGCACGGTGGCCGGCTGGGCCTTTGGTCTGGGCCTCGAGCGCTTGGCCATGGTTCGCTTTGGGATCCCGGACATTCGGCTGTTCTGGTCGCGCGACCCGCGCTTCCTGACGCAGTTCGATGCGTGCGATCCCGCCCAGCCGAGCACCCTGGACAAGGTGAAGTTCGCCCCCTTCAGCAAGTACCCCCTGTGCTACAAGGATGTGGCCTTCTGGCGGGCGGACAGCCTGCATGATAATGACTTCTTCGATGTGGTCCGCTCGGTGGGCGGCGATCTTGTGGAGTCCGTGGAGAAGGTGCGCCGCGCGACCGGAGGCCGATCTTTGTTGTGGCATTTGTCGCCTTCCTTCTGCCTCTTCTTCTCCTTCTCCCCTGCTGTCCC